ATTAGCCACCTTGATTTGCATTTAATGACATTTCAGCTTCAAAGCCTGGCTGGTTGCTGCCTGGGGGGATCCTTGTTGGGAGGTGTTAGCTGACCCAGGCGGCAACCAGGCAGGCTTTGAAGCTTCAAGGCCATTAAATGCTAATCAAGGTGGCCAATTGCAACATTCACACTTGCCTCAAGCAAACATGAGTTTTTTGTCCCATTCTCCCACCACAGATATATATAAACCTCACTTGCTTTGTTTCTAACAGACCCCTCAACCCCCGAGGATGCCTGCCATAGATGTAGGCGAAACATCAGGAGATGTTTCTGGAACATGGTCATACAACCCAGAAAACTCACAGCATCCCAGTGATTCCGGCCATAAAAGCCTTCAACAAAGAATCAAAATGCTGAAATAAACCCAATACTTGTCTAGTCCTATCCTAGTTTTTCAGGGATCCAAAAACTTGCACAACAGCATTTAAAGTTAAAGCCGCTCTACACACACGCACACACACACACACACACAAAAGATATGACAATTCAAGTTAGTGATCTGTATTTCTGCTCCGAACACTCCATTTTGCAAATGATCAAATAAACTAGCAGTCAGCACTCATTTCTCATACTTGCAAGGACTATCCTAATTTATTTTTGTTTAAAAGCTTAGATGATTTTACAACATGAGGCAAGATTATGTGTAAAGTTCTCTCTCAAAAGAAGTTCCATCCCAACTCAATCCAAACTCAGAGCTATTAGAAGATACTGTCTGTCTCTTTTTCAAAAACATAAGGAATATAAACTTAATTCAAATACTAAAATCAGAATTACAAATACAAACTGAGTTTTGTAGTATCATTCATAGGCTAATAGACTATGAATTATGGTTTTGACCATGTATTATACTACACTCCCTTGATACAAGTAAAACAATTAAGGCACCTTATACAAAAATGTAATGAATTTGATATCTGTCTTTCTCCTGCCATGAGATTCAGGAGGCTTACAGTAATCTAAAATAAATTAGGAGAAGGAATAAATTTAATTAAGCATAAAAATAACAAAACAGCCACAGGAAAACAGATCTTTTATACAAGCAAACTCTTTGGGTAGAAACAATTTACCGGGTTGTTGTGAGTTTTCCAGGCTGTATGGCCATGTTCCAGAAGCTTTTGACAAAACACACATAATTTAACTAACATGAGATGCCAAGGAAAGTAACTGTTATAGATATGGTATTTTCCAGGAAAGTGAAATTGTAAATCATTAATCAAAGGGATTGTGAACATAACAATTGCTGAGTTCCTTCTTTAAAATACTGTCTGCTCAGTAAGCAGTGTTTACAAATCCAACATACAAAACAACTTCAATAACAACAAAAACAGAATAAGCTATCCTCTCTTATTGTCGAAGGCTTTCATGGCCAGAATCACTGGGTTGTTGTAGGTTTTTCGGGCTGTATGGCCATGTTCCAGAAGCATTCTCTCCTGACATTTCACCTGCATCTATGGCAGGCATCCTTAGAGGTTGGATACTTGCCATAGATACAGGAGAAACGTCAGGAGTGAATACTTCTGGAACATGACCATTCAGCCCGGAAAACTCACAACAACCCACTATCCTCTCACAGGTCATCAAGACAACAATTGTTCCCTTATTACTTTGCATTCAGCTATATTCAACAGTCCCTGGCCTCTTGCTGAACCTACTGCCAAGTTATGCTTTTTCTCTCTGAACTTTAGAGCAGGTTGACATTCAGTTCTTTTCAGCAATATGTAACCACACTCTCCATCTTCTACAAACCTCCTTATTTCTTAACAGAACATGACCATCCCTTAATAATACTTCAAACTTAGAGTTCATATTTTATTGCTTTTAACTATTTGTTTTTAATAATTCTATATTTAATAATATTTTAATGTTTGTATTGTTTTTTTAGGTTTTAAATTATATATTGTATTGCTTTTATTGTTAGTCACTTTGGGCCTCTCTTTAGATAGATAAAGTGGGGTAGTAATAATAATCAAAATATTATAATAATAAACAATAAACAACTTGAACACCAAACAAGCAGAGAATCTGGGAGCTTTGTGATCCCTCTATTTTTATCAGTTTTATACCTGTTTTATTTATGCCAGGGGGCCTCAAACTTTTTAAACAGAGGGCCAGGTCCCAGACCCTCAAACTGTTGGAGGGTCGGATTATAATTTGAAAAAACATGAATGAATTCCTATGCACATTGCACATATCTTATTTGTGGTACAAAACACTTAAAATACAATAATTAAAATGAAGAACAATTTTAACAAATATAAACTTATTAGTATTTCAATGGGAAGTGTGGGTCTGCTTTTTGCTGATGAGACAGGATTGTTGTTGTGTTCTTTCAAATCATTTCAGACTTAGGTTGACCCTGAGCAAGGGCCGGGTAAATGACCTTGGAGGGCTGTATCCGGCCCTCGGGCCTTAGTTTGAGGACCCCTGGTTTATGCAATGTTTTGAAACAAATTAAAGAAATAATCCTGAACACTTAGGAATTGGCTCAAGAAATCTGAAAAACGGAGTCGTAAAGATACGGTTTCTTCAGATTCTGTACAAACATTTATTTTCATATCATACAAACTCATTCACCAGTCACACAACAAAGCAGAAATGTACCTGGTAAGTCTCCCAAGTTTGAGTTCACTGTTATCAAATTAAGCCCATGTCACTACTGGAAAATATACTTACTTTACTGATGCTGGGTCAAAAAAATTGGGATCCCTCCAGGCCAGTGGTTCTCAACCTGTGGGTCCCCAGATGTTTTGGCCTACAACTCCCAGAAATCCCAGCCAGTTTACCAGCTGTTAGGATTTCTGGGACTTTAGGGACAAAACATCTGGGGGCCCATAGGTTGGGAACCACTGTTCTCTGTGCTTTTTAGGATCGAGTCAATGATATTATGAAATACATTCTTCATTTTGCATTCCATTTTTGGTCCTTGGTTCCCTATGGATGGCACGGAGCAAATCCTGCAACCCTCCTACAAGTAAGTACACAGTAGCCAAAGTTACGCACATTTATGCCTCACTAGTTCAGTGCAAGCTGTCTACGGACAACTCTGGCTTAGAAATGGAGATGAGCACCCCCCCCCCCCCCCAGAGTTGGACACGACTAGACTTAATGTCAAGGGGAAACCTTTACCTTTACATTTAGGGCAAGCATTAGGAAAATGTTGAATACAATGGGACATTCTTACATGAGGGATTTGACCAGCAATGGCCCTGTCTTCACTGTCCAGGGGTAGACCTGTCCAGTTTCAACAATGCCTGAAATCTCAGTACCTTGCAAATCTATTATATGTTTTTCGTCAGTTTAAAGAAACTTTGCTGTAAATGAAATGCTTAAAATCCAAATAACAATCTGTCCCTCATTTAGCATTCTTCAACTGAAGTTGTGAAAATGTTTATTTTAAAGGAAAATAAAACATTTGTTGCACTGTTCACAAGCATGCAATGTGCAGTTGTGACTCTGTACATTTTAGAAATGGATTTTCTGTATCTTTTCCTCTATTTGCTGCTCAAAACTTACTCCTTCCTCATCAGATAGCTTTGATTTTGAATGAATTGTTTCTGACAGTTCAATACAATCTTGTTACCAAGGCCTCTCAATTTATGCTCCATTTCAAATTTATTTATTTATTTGCAGTATTTTATACTGCTTTTCTCACCCCTGAGGGAACTCAAAGCAGTTTACAAAAAATAATGGCAAAATTAAATGCCTTACATAGATAAACAAAATCATAAATCAAACAGCATATGAGTAAGGCCATCAGTAATGCATAAAATAAAATGAATAAGTAAAAAACAGCACCTCCAAATTTGCCAAACCGCTATCCAGTTTTTGCACTTATCTAACCCCAATGTGTGCAGAAGAGAATAAATGTATCCCATGATGAGCAAGGAACCAAGGGGCAAGCTTGATCCTTCTTTATGTCTGCAGAGGCATTTGTACTGGAAATCAGACCTGTGGCATTCCCATTAATGATTAAACATACAATTTGGTCTGTTTCCCACAGGGTCCCGGATACCTCTTTGGGCAAAATGAGAGGATGGGTTTGGAGAAGCTTTAATTCCCTACACACACAACACAGAACTGGAGAGGACATTTGCTCCTGGACCATCCTGCCCTGCTAGATCATGCACAAAATACCTCATCACACCGGTGAATGGATCTACTTTAAATCAGGTTTCTGCCTCCTGCAGAATTATGGGGTTTGTAGTTTAGTGAGCCTGTTTTAGGCTCCTAACTAAACTACAAACCCCAGAATTCCGCAGGAGGCAGCAACCGGATTTAAAGTGGATTCATTCTCCAGTGTGATGAAGGTGAAAGCTGAGCAAGATATGGTTTGGTTGCTGCTCAATGCTCATAGTTCAATTGTGGGATTTGTAGTTTAGTGAGGCTGTTATTGGCCCTTCTCTAAACTACAAACCCCAGAATTCTGCAGGAGGCAGAAACTGGATTTAAAGTGGATTCATTCTCTAGTGTGATGAAGGTGAAAGCGGAGAAAGATCCAGTCTGGTTGCTGCTCAATGCTCATAGTTCAATGGTGGGATTTGTAGTTTAGTGAGGCTTTTATAGGATCTTCTCTAAACTACAAACCCCAGAGTTCTGCAGGCGGCAGAAATCGGATTTAAACTCTAGTGTGATGAAGGTTGGTGAAAGCTGAGCAAGATCCAGTTTGGCTGCTGTTCAATCCTCGTAGTTCTATAGAATTGATGTAGCTTGATGTTATGGAATCCTTAGGAGTTATACCTTCAGGAGGTCTTTAGCTATCTCACCTCACCAAGCTACAACTCCCAGGATTCCACAACCACCAATTCAAGTGGTACCAAACTGCTTTAATCCTACAGTGCAGAGCGTAGAGAGGCCTTTGCTTCTGCTCTTTTTGGTCCTGACTCCCTTTTTTGCGGAAAACTGGTTCAGATCCAGTTCTGATGCGGCCTGTGTGTCCAACCCCTTCTCCTCCCTGCTCACCTTGCTCCAGGTCCTGCTGGTCGTACCAAGGCTCCTCTTCCTCGCTTTGAAACTCTTCCATCCTGTCTGCGTTCAGCATCAGTTCTGCTCCTCCTGCATCCAAGCCACAAAGCAGCAAAGACCCAAGAGAGGCTGAGTTCTCTCTCTCTCTCTCTCCAAGAGACAGACTGCAGAAGGGAGAGAAAGAGAATCGAGAGAGAAAGGCAGGGTGATGCCTTCCCAGACCTGGTGCAAGGCAGTAGTAACCTAGGAGGCCGTCTTTAAGCCTGGGCAGAGCGGAGGCTGGCACAAAGGCTTTGCAGATGTCTCCTTGGGATGATGATGATGATCAGGGCTGCTGCTGTTGCGGTGGCACCCGGCTCTCTCCTCCTCCTCCTCCTTCTTTGGCATCCCCTCCCTGCTTCCTCTTGCAAGAGGAAAAAAAGAGGAGGCCAGAAACGTGGCCCGAACRATCCCGCCGGGTTCCCCCCCCCCCCTTAGAATCCTCAGCCTTGCTTTCCTGGGAGGAAAGGGAATAATGAAAAAGGGGGAGCTGTCTTTGKGATGAGCCAAAAAGCGGGGGCCAGCCAGGGCTCCCACTTGGCTGGGCGATGCACAAAAGAGAAGAAGAGCGCGCTCCCAGCCGCGCCGCTCGGTGGAGACCTCTAGCCTGGAACTGCTGCAAGGAAAGCCAGGCAGAAAGGCAGAGAGGAGGGAGGGAGGGAGAGAGGGAAGGAAAGGAAAGGGAGGAGGAGGAGGAGAGAGCGCCCCCCTTTTCTTCTCTCCCCCCCCCCCCCCGCCGCCTTCCCAGCCCAGGAATTCCAGCTGTGCTTTAGCTCTTAGGCGGATTTGAGGCTCGCATTCCTCCGGGATGCAGAGAGAGATCAGGGCAGGAAGCCTGGATGGGGCCASTCTGGGTTTAAACCCAGCCACACGTTTGATTGTGCTTGGGTACTGTGCTCCTGCCATGGGCTGGGTGGCCCTGCTGGTCCCTTCCAACTCCAAGGTTCTCTCATTCTACAGCCAAGAATAAGAGCAGGCCTGAATTGTCTGATGATTTTTTTAATTTATACTCCCTTTTTTCCTTTTGATCTCACAAACAATGGGATTTTACAACCACAACATAGCAATATTAAAAAAGAATTAAATATATCATTCTTAAATCTGTTTGTTTTATTGTCTGAGCAGAGGTTGAGGGAAGAAAGAAGCCTTCCTCATTGTGTCTTTGGAGCACCTTCCCTCTTATAATAATAATAATAATAATAATAATAATAATAATAATAATAATAATAATAATAATAATATATTTATTTATTTATTTATTAATATTCCGCTCTATCTCCCCGAAGGGACTCAGGGCGGATTCCAAACATAAAAGGCAAACATTCAATGCATGAATACAACAACAATACATCCATACTAATGGAATTTAAACAACCCAACATATAAACACAAATTATAACTTAATTAAAATTAAATAAAAAGCCTGTTATAACAGACATATGACAAAATATCAAACATCAAATGGAAATAATAATTTCCCATTTCCCATAATTTCTCTTGAGCCTTCTGGCCATCAAGGGCTGCATCTACACTGTAGAATTAATGCAGTTTGACACCTCCTTTAACTGCTGTGGCTAAATGCAATAGAATCCTGGCTCAATCCTATGGAATCCTGGATTTTTGTAGTATGTGTGGTGGAATGAAAATCGCATGTTGTTGTTGTTCATTCATTCATTCTTCGCAACTTCATGGACCAGCCCACGCCAGAGCTCCCTGTCGGTCGTCACCACCCCCAGCTCCTTCAAGGTCAATCCAGTCACTTCAAGGATACCATCCATCCATCTTGCCCTTGGTCGGCCCCTCTTCCTTTTTCCTTCCATTTCCCCCAGCATCATACTCTTCTCTAAGCTTTCCTTTCTTCTCATGATGTGGCCAAAGTACTTCATCTTGGCCTCTACTATTCTTCCTTCCAATGAACAGTCAGGCTTTATTTCTTGAAGTATGGACTGGTTAGATCTTCTCACTGTCCAAGGCACTCTCAGAACTTTCCTCCAGCACCACAGTTCAAAAGCATCTATCTTCCTTCGCTCAGCCTTCCCTATGGTCCAGCTCTCATATCCGTAGGTGACTACGGGGAATACCTTTGATTTAACTGTGCGGATCTTTGTTGCCGTTGTGATGTCTCTACTCTTCAGTATTTTATCAAGATTGGTCATTGCTCTCCTCCCAAGAAGTAAGCGTCTCCTGATTTCCTGGCTGCAGTCTGCGTCTGCAGTAATCTTTGCACCTAGAAATACAAAGTCTGTCACTGCCTCCACATTTTCTCCCTCTATTTCCCAGTTGTCAATCATTCTTTAAAATCACGTGTACTTCACATATTTACCAATCCATACACTGTCTTGTTAGAGAAAAGATATGCCACACAGATGATCAGTAAAGAACATGGTGTTTCTCAGCATTTCTCAACCTGAGGGTTGGGATCCCTGTGGGGGTTGTGAGGGGGGGTGTTAGAGGGGTCGCTGAAGACCATCAGAAAACACAGTATTTTCTGTTGGTCATGGGGTTTTTGTGTGGGAAGTTTGGCTCAATTCTATCATTGGTAAATTAGAAATTCACAATATTTATGTATGTGCATGTGTATATCTTCAGGTTGCCTGTTGATCTGTGGTAACCCCATTAATTTCATGGGGTTTTCTTAAGCAAAGAATTCTGAAAGGTAGTGTTGCCAGTTTCTTCCCCTGAAATATAGCCTGCAGTATCCGCTATTAATTGGCTATCTCCCCATCCAAATACTAACACGGTTTGACCCTACTTAGCTTCCAAGATCAGGCAGGACCTAGTGCCTTTGGTTATTTAAAACCTTTTTAAAGAAGGATATATAGGAAGACAAAATGGAAATGCAATGTTCCATAACTGGTAGAACAATTTTAGAATCATAGAATCATATAATCATAGAGTTGGAAGAGATGTCGTGGGCCATCCAGTCCAACCCCCTGCCAAGAAGCAGGAAAATCACATTCAGGCTTTGAGCCTTGAGCAACTTGAGATCACAGCAGGGAAGTGTGCACCAAATTTCAGGATGAGTCCCCTTGGGCCACAAACTACTATTAGTAATTAACACATTACTCTCAACAGTACAGTCTCATGCAGTCTCTAGTGCCATTGAATTCAGTGAAGCTTTTTCTCTGATAGTCTGTAGTTCTATACACTTCTAAGTCGCTAATATGGATTTAAATTCCCTCAGCACTCCTACACACACACACACATACATTAAAGGAGAAGGGAAAGAAATCCATCTATTCTTTAACTACTTTTAAAATCATCTCATTTGTAAATATAAAAGGACAGGTAGAATGAGATACAGCGGTATATAAGCAAAGTAAATAAATAAATAAATAATAAATAAGATAGAAGAAGAATGTTTAGGTGTTATCCCATTGGAAGGTGAGGAGATGGGTAAATACCATACATGCTATGTTGAGGAAGGGAGGAATGAAAATAAGCTAGTTCATAATTTAAGAAATCACATTGACAGAGAACAGGAGGATATTATATAAAGTTCTGAGCCTGTTTTTAGGGTACTTTTCAGACTGATATTTTTCTGCCCCTTGCTTGTAGATGGTGGAGATGGAACTTGGGACCTTTTGTAGAGTGAGCATGCTTTGTGTGCACTTGTGGAAAATATAAAATTTGTGTACTCAGACAACCATCTATGCATGGCTTAAGGATAGTGTACAAGTTTGGTTATGATTTAATTTAAAATGTTTTTATGCTATTATTCTTTCTTTTTCACTAGAAGTTTCTGACTGGGATTTTAAACCATCAATGGTTACTCCAAATTGGTTACTCCATGGGAGGCTGAGATAGTGACACTTTTGCTGTTGATTCAGTATACACAAACTTATTAAATTTTATATTGTGTATAAAATTCCTTTTAGGTTGTGTGTAAAAACTGTATATGAAAACATAATGGATATTGTATTTATATTCTAAGATATAAATTGTTATGTGGAGTTTGATTCCAAAAGGTACTACATCCAAAAAATAAAATTGGTGGCAGCATGTTGTTGGCTAGGAGTAGGATACAATATACAGATAAAAACTACCAAAGTATATCAAATCACTCTGGTACAGTGCTTGGAAATTTGAATTTATAGCAAAAGAATACATATCCTCAGCACGTTTTTTCACGATTCCTATAAAATTTGTCCAGATGGATTTGGCACCTTTTTGAAAGAAGCTTCATATATGCATATGTAGATATTACAAAATCCAGAATACATTGGGCCCTGAGCATTTTGAATAAGAGATATTCAACCTGGATGCAATTGTATAGTATGGGACATGAGCACGTTCAGATTCTGATAACCCAAAGGCGGTCCTGCAACTAAACCCTCGGGTATGGCAATGACTCACTGCATATACAGCCAGCCCTCCACATTTGTGGGCTTGACTTTTGTGGATTATTCACAGATTTGATTAAAATGCCCTTTCAAGGAAACTCTACACATCCAGTAGAATTTGACTACAGAACTGCACTGGAAGACCTATAGATTCCAAGAGAGAACAACATTATTGGGATCATTAGGTCCTCCAGTGTGTTTCAGGTGGAGGTTGACCACAGAGTCCTTCTGGAGAACTTAAAAATGTATAGAGAAGTGTTCTCTTTTGGCTGTTCTTCATTCATGAGGGGGTCTTGTGCCCCTCGCCCCAGCAGATGTGGAAGGCTTGCTGTACAACTGCTGAGAAGACTGGAAGTGAACATTTGTTTCTTCTTCCCTTCCCTTCCTTTTCCTTTCTCTTTTCCTTCTTTAAAAATACTTTTTATTGCACTTTCATAGCTTGTAATAATTATGATGACGACGACAATAACAACAACAATATTTATACCTCACTTTGTCTCTCCTGAAGGATTCTCAAAGCGGCTTTACATAAAAGCATTAGCATACAATTTAAAATACACAAATGTGAATATTGAAACAGAGTGAAATATAAAAGTATTTAAAAATTCAGTTAAAATCCATTAAAACATATTCAGAGTGAAAAACCACAGCATCCCCTGATTAGATCTTTAAAACCTTCATCTTTAAATGTTTTTCTAAATAAAAAGGTTTTTGCTTATTAATAACATTAGAAGGCCTGTGTAATGCTGAGGTCAGAAGTCAACTTTGCCTGATTTCTCTTTTTCTTTTCCATTATCTCTTTTGCTCCTTATTTTAATTGTATTTTTATTAATGACCAGTACTAAAATTAATAATAATAAAAATGTTGAAGGAGGAGGCTTATATAATAGCTGAGAAGATTGGAAGTCAACTTTGACTTGTTTTTCTTCTTTCCTTTTATCTCTTTTCTTCCTTTTTAAAAATACTTTACACCCGCATAGTGAAGTCGACAGACTTTACCTGCCCAGAAAATCAGGAGGCAGAGGGCTGGTAGAAGAAGAGAAACATGCACTGGCAGATTATGTGAAAGGCAGTCAAGAACCAACATTGAGGGAAATCAACAGTAGTAAACTGCTTCAAGCGCAAAAGACAAAGAATGAATATCGTAAAAACACAATCCAGAGCAGAAGAGAAAACTGGCAAAAGAAGGCTCTCCATGGACAGTTCCTGGGAAAAATTGAGAGCCAAATTGACAAAGAAAAAACATGGATGTGGCTCACAAATTGAGCTTTGAAAAGGGAGAGGGGGGGCTGATTCTGGCAGCCCAAGAACAAGCCATTAGAACAAATGCCATCAAAGCCAGAATTGAAAAGTCAATGACAGATCACAAATGTACACTCTGCAAGGAAGCAGATGAAACAATAGATCATATCCTCTGATGGCCCTTCCATACAGCCCTATATCCCAGAATATCAAGGCAGAAAATCACACATTATCTAAGTGTGGACTCGGATAACCCAGTTCAAAGCAGATATTGTGGGATTTTCTGCCTTGATGTTCTGGGTTGTATGGCTGTATCGAAGGGCCCTGGGTTATCTGAGTCCACACTGCAAAATTCCAGTTCAAAGCAGATGTGGGATTTTCTGCTTTGATATTCTGGGATATAGGGCTGTGTGGAAGGGCCCCCAGACTATCAAGGCAGGAAATCCCACAGTATCTGGTTTGAACTGGAATATATGGCAGACAGGCCCGTAGCCAGGATTTTGATTTGGGGCAAGCTGAGATTGATTGCGGGGGGGGGGGGGGGGGGGGGGGGGGCTGAATCTGAGTGAAAGAGGGTCTACCCTAGCAAACATTTTGTATTGTTACCCCAATACCCCCATGCATATGGGATATATTGAGTATGGTGATCAGATCATGATATGAATAAACATAATAGTTTAAATAATGTACCAGTAAGGCCTTCTCGCGGACCACCATGAGAATTTCGGGGGGGGGGGAGGGTCTGAAGCCCCTCAAGCCCCCCCCTCCCCACGCTACATGCCTGGGCAGTGTGGACCCAGGGCCCTTTCCACACAGCCCTATATCCCAGAATATCAAGGCAGGAAATTCCACAATATCTGCTTTGAACTGGGTTATCTGAGGGCCCTTCCACACAGCTCTATATCCCAGAATATCAAGGCAGAAAATCCCACATTATCTGAATGTGGATTCAGATAACCTAGTTCAAAGCAGATACAATGGGATGTTCTGCCTTGATGTTCTGGGTTATATGACTGTGTGGAAGGGTCCTGGGTTATCTGAGTCCACACTGAAAAATTCTAGTTCAAAGCAGATGTGGGATTTTCTGCTTTGATATTCTGGGATATAGAGCTATGTGGAAGGACCCCCAACTATCAAGGCAGGAAATCCTGCAATATCTGCTTTGGACTGGAATATATGGCAGTGTGGACTCAGATAACCCAGTTCAAAGCAGATATTGTGGGTTATATGGCTGTGTGGAAGGGCCCTGGGTTATTATCTGAGTCCACACTGCCATATATTCCAGTCCAAAGCAGATAATGTGGCATTTTCTGCTTTGATTTTCTGGGATATAGAGCTGTGTGGAAGGACCCCCAGACTATCAAGTCAGGAAATCCTGCAAGGCCTTTGATCTTTGATATTGCTGTTTTTAAATTGTTTTAAATTGTTTTTACATTGTGTTAGATTTTAGCCTATTCTTGTAAACTGCTCCAAGCCCCAGGGGAGTGGCGGCATATAAATTTGAATAATAAACAAAATAAATAAAAATATCTGATTCGGACTGGAATATATGGCAGTGAGGACCCAGGGCTCTTTCTGACTGTGAGAGCCGTTCAGCAGTGGAACTCTCTGCCCGGAGTGTGGTGGAGGCTCCTTCTTTGGAAGCTTTTAAACAGAGGCTGGGTGGCCATCTGTCAGGGGTGATTTGAATGCAATATTCCTGCTTCTTGGCAGGGGGTTGGACTGGATGGCCCATGAGGTCTCTTCCAACTCTAGGATTCTATTCCACACAGCCCTATATCCCAGAATATCAAGGCAGAAAATCCCACATTATTTGAGTGTAGATTTAGATAACCCAGGGCCCTTCCATGCAGCCATATAACCCAGAATATCAAGGCAGAAAGTCCCACGATATCTGCTTTGAACTGGGCTACCTGAGTCCACACTGACATATATTCCAGTTCAAAGAAAATGTGGGATTTTATTCAGCTGTGTGGAAGGGGCAGATATGGTGGGATTTTCCTGTCTTGATATTGTGAGTGACATGGCTGTGTGGAAAGGCCCTGAGCTATGGCGGTAGAAGGGATGCCAGCCCACCTCCTTTCTCCTGAGGGAAATGGGAAGGGAGACAGGAAGGAAGGCGGATGGAGGGAGCAGGGCAGAGCGACCCCTCGTTTCCCGCTGCTTCTGGCGGGGAGGAGAAGGGAGGAGGCCCGGCCCGCCCTGAGGGAAAGAAAAGCGAGGGAACACAGGAGGAGAAGGAGGAGGAGGAGCCGAGCCGCCTCTCTGACGGGAGACGCATCTGACAGGAGGGAGGGAGGGAGGCAGAGCAGAGCAGGTGAGGGATGGAGACCGGCAAGGCCGCGACGTGGAGAGGAGGAGAGGGGGAGGAGGAGGGCCATTAGAGGCGGGCAGGGCCAGGCGGCGGCTGCTTTCCCGGATCCAGGAGGATGGGGAACGCGGACTCGAAGCTCAACTTCAGGAAGGCGGTGATCCAGCTCACCACCAAGACCCAGGTAATGGCTCAAGGGAGCACCTGCTCAGGGCGTGGGGATCTTAAAGGGGACTGGCCTCCTCGGGAATAACGGTGGGACCCAGGCAGGTGCTTATTCTGAGGCCTCTGTTCCCCCTCAGGCCCTGCCTTCTTCACAGCTGCTCTGGCCTCCCTCCTAGGCCACATCCACAGCCCCCAAAGCTCAACTGAGCAGATCCCTCTGCCTGCTGCCCTGGCCTTCCTTTCAAGGCTGGCCAGCCTCAGGCCCTGCTGGGATTTGGGAGCCTTCTGGGAGCTTCAGGCCTTGATAGGCATCTACATTAGGCCTGGGCAAACTTCAACCCTCTCTCCAGGTGTTTTGGACTTCGATTCCCACCATTCTTAACAGCCTCAGGCCCCTTCCTTTTCCCCCTCAGCCGCTTAAGCTGGGGGTGGTGCTCAACTCCATTTCTAAGCCAAAGAGCCGGCGTTGTCCATAGATACCTCCAAGGTCATGTGGCCAGCTTACTTACTTAGGCGATCCCTCATTGTCCGAGTAGGATTGTCTTCCAAGATTGGTGTCCTGGCGGTGGGTCCGTAGGTGACTGTGGAGCCCTACTCTTGATCTGCATGTTCTCCCGCAGTGAGGGCATCAGTTTCCGGACATAAGGTGGCCCCGGTAAGCTTGATGTGCCTTCCTTTTGGCATTTTTCTCTCTTTTCCCCTCTATTAGTGTCTCTTCAAATTCTACAGCACTGCTGCTCACAGCTGACATCCAGCTGGAGTGCTCAAGGGTCAGGGCTTCCCAGTTCTTGGTGTCTATGCCACAGTTTTTAAGGTTGGCTTTGAGCCCATCTTTAAATCTCTTTTCCTGCCCACCAACATTCTGTTTTCCATTCTTGAGTTTGGAGCAACTGCTTTGGGAGACGGTGGTTGGGCACCCAGACGGCATGACTGCATGGAGCACCATTACCTTCCTGCAGAAGCGGTACCTATTGATCTATTCGAATTTGCATGTTTTCTAACTGCTAGGTTGGCAGACGCTGGGGCCAACAGCGGGAGCTTGGCCTGCTCCCCGGATTTGATCCGCTGACCTTTCAGTCAGCAAGTTCAGCAGCTAAGCAGGTTAACCTGCTGCACCCCTGGGGGCTCTCATATCTCCATGCCATAGTACTGAGCCATGGTGGCTAAAGAGGTGTCCAGCTGCATTCGTTCTACCGTGTAGAATATGCACCCTTATAGACAGAGCTATTCAGCAGGCGATGGCGGGAAGGCTATCTATGGGGAGAAAGACTGAGGAAGTTGGAAGGATGCATTCAGGTAATATGTTGTAATAATGCCTGATGGCAAACACCAGCCCTGTCACAAATGACGTCACTGAAGGAGGAAAAAAAAGTGAGACTGAAGGCTCAAGTCCTTTCCTATCAGCACACTGTAAGGGTTATTTTATGATGTTTATCCAATTTGTTGAATCAGCTGTTTGATTCCTCACTATATACAGGTTGAGCATCCCTTGTTGGAAATTTTGAAATATTCCAAAATCCTAAACTGGTCACATAGGTGGCTGAGATAGAGACACCTTTGTTTTCTGATGGTTCAGTGTACTGCACACAAAGTCTGTTTCTTGCATCAAATTATTAAAATTACCTTCCGGCATGTGTATAATGTGTATATTAAACAAATCAATCTTGTGTTTCAGTTGCATTCCATCTCCAAGCTGTCTCATTGTGTACATACAGGCAGTCCCCAAGATATGAACAAGATAGGTTCTCTAGGTTTGTTCTTAAGCTGAATTTATACAGTATGTAAGTCAGAATAGGTACATTTTTAAAGTGTAACTCCTGGGATAGCATAGGGAAGTGATAACAACCCTGTGGTGTTTGTTTAGCTGTTTGTTTTTCTGTACCCCTCTTTAAAAGATTTCCCTTCACTTTCTGTCCCTGATAACTGGATTTTGAAAAAAAATATGGCTTGTTGTGGAAGCAAGGATAGGTGATAAAGCTTCAGTGGAGACACATTTTTCTCATGGTAACTCTTTCAAGAGTGAATTTCCCTTCCTAGAGATAGATTTCTTTGACTTCCTGTTGTCTCGCCCCCATTCTTAACTATGAATTGTTTGCAAATTGGATGTTTGTAACTCGGGGACTGCCTGTATATGGAAATACAGCTATTCATAATAATAATAATAATAATAATAATAATAATAATAATAATTAAAAAAAACCCAAACACTTCTGATCCTAAGTACTCCAAATAAGAGGTACTTAAACTTGTACTTCTCCATGATAGCTATGGTAATCCTTTCATGAAAGTTTGAAAAACAAGGATGGCAATGCTGTTGGAGGAGTTCTGCAAATGTGTTATTTTTAGTTGGATTGCACTTAAATCTTAAGTCAGGTTCATGTACAAGTCTAGAAGCGTAACAGAAAAAGTCTAAATAATTGGTAGTGTAGAAGGACACTATAGAGTCACCTATTATTGGCATGTGAAAGCGCAACTTCAGAAACATCCCATGCACCTGAGCTTGCTTGAGCTGCCTGGAATGATGTTTATTGACAGAAGAGTAAGGATAGTAGTGAAGTGAGACTTTTCCTTTGAAACTTAAGAACAACTAAATTTTTGTTTTAGTTGGCAAGTACCTTTTGTATGATTCTTCTCTTTACCTTGCAAGAAATGTTAGATTGAACTACAATGGGAAACAAGCTTAGAAGTGGTAGCCCTTTCCCCTGATATCCTTGAACAGATCCTGTTTCTCGCATTAGTTGCTAAGATGCCTCTAACATAGGTCTGTCAATTTTCCAATAATACTAGCAGGAGGGTTGATCCTTTTGAAACTAAATGAACGAAGCTAAATCTTATCCCATAATCTTTGTCAGACTTGTGGTGTAAGAAGCCCTACTTGTAGCAAAATATTCGTAAGATTTTCTTTTAGAAAGTAATCATGATGAGAGATAAATAAACCACATAATGAGAGATTGACAGCATAATAATAAGCATGTATACTGTATTTAGGACCAGAGTTCAGTAGTTTCTTTCAGTTGACTGTAGAATTGCAACTATAGTATAAACTATCTTTGATTTTGGAGGATGGAGTATAGACGTCATACATAGCACGAAAATAGGAATCATTATGTATCTGGTTGTTGGTTTGTAGAGTTCACTTCTTTTAAAAGTGAACATTGTATGCTTCTGGCTTGTTTTATTAAAAGTTTCCATAGAAATGCAGAGGGAGATTGTACCGTGAAGGAAAGTGAGAGGTCAAGCAGGAACACCCATATTTACATACTCGAGAAGAGCACAACTTGCCAGAATAGTATGCATGACTAGCCTTTCTCGAAGCCTGTTATCAAAGGATCTGCATTGTGACCTATTACTGGTCTTATAAACTACATTCTGTAAACAACATTTCAGTGTTGCTATTTTAATTAACTGTATAAAACCCACATGCCCTATCATACAGGCGCAGGTGATGCTGTTGTTTTTGATTGCTGTATCTGAAATAAAAGGAAAGCCATGTCACATATGACAGAAATTATGAAAGACAAACATGACAAGCTGCCTATAATAAACAAAGACACAGTGAGATTCAATCACAACAGATACTATTTTCGTGCAATTTTGTTTCCTAACGTATCAGGTTTGTTTTTCTAAAACCCATGCTGCAAAATGAGATTCACTCATAAGTTATACTTGAACTAGCTAAATTTCTGAGCAAATGGGTAATTTCTCTTAGTTGTTTGTATCTTTGTATCTTTGTTTTTCCTCTTTATGCATATTCTCATTTTCGACTGATCTGTAGTTGTCTGTCATGATCATGCACTGATTAATAGAGGAACTGGTTCAGAAAAATCCAAAAGGTGAATGTTATGAAAGATGAGTATATTTTTATACTTGAAATTACACACGTATCATCATTCTTCAATGGATCTGTACAACCAACCTAGGAATTATGGTCTATTGCACTAATGTAATTTGAGCACATTGCAAATAATACGACGTTCTCAGAGGACATCTTACGTAAACATGTCCCATGCCACTGCTGTGTGTCACTTTGGTGCAATAATATTTTTTGTGCAATTTTGATTCTTTCTTCAGAAAAAGGAGTTCAGATTTCCCTCTCATTTATGTGGCTATCTTTTCTCTTCTAATGGGAGAAGGATAATAAATAGGGGGCATTCATTTCAGTTGTTCGAGCTCAGCAGTGCCATAAGATAACTAACCTTCTTCAATATGAGAAGCAAGAGTGATTAGAGTAAGCTCAAACTGGACTTTCTTGCTTGACGACATTAAGAAGTCTGCAAATAAATTTGGACACTTGTTTTCCCCTGTACTTGCACTGCGCCAGGGAATAGAATCTCAGGCATCAGAACAGATAAGGTCCCCTGCCTGTTTTGTATTCTTCTATCCGAAGATTGCTTGGTACATTACTCAGTATATTGACCTGTTTACTCAAAATATTAAAAATCTGTTTCAGGGATAAAAGAAAGGGACTTGATAAAGGTCACAAACTGAATGCAACTAGCTTACCAAGTATTTTAACCCAGATCTTTCAAATGTACATACAACACTTTGCATTGGGAAATCTTTGATGTACCATTATCTGCCAGTCCTTTAACATTAATACAGATCTGGACAGTGCTTTGTGATCTTTTCCTCTGTTGAAGGAAAGTATTGTTCTGCAGATGTATCCTGTTTTTCCTAAAAATGTCTTCCGCAGTTGTTTCAAAAGTGTCAGGACAACTGGAATCCAAATGCCTATGTCTTTACTTTCTCCTATATTAAACTAAAGCTCTAAACACCAGTTAAATATACAACAAATCTGATAATGTGACTACAGTGGGCTGTATTCCCAAATTATTTGAAGAGCACATTTTTGTTTTCTTAGCTTTGAGCAACAAACAACATTTTCTCCGCTTTCGAATACCAGGAAAGGTTGCGTCAAACTTACTGCTTTATGACTTGTTTATTTATAAAATTACATCCTGCTTTCCCTCAAAAGGTGAATTCAAAGGTCTATATAAAGCAAAACACATATGCTTAATA